TGTGCAGCCACAGCACTTTGGTACCATGCAGATGAAAGGCTCAACTCGCCAGCAACACACTGAACATGATGGTCCTGGAACTGTTCTGTGGAGATCTCTCCTGAAATCAGCAGATATTCAAGTACGTTCAAGCTCACCTACTCTGTCTATCAGCAACTTAAGAAACCACTATTACAAAAAGATCAGTGAGGTGACAGACATGCAGAAACTCAAGTGAAAAAGAAACTAGAACTCCACTGCTTGAATCTAGAACTGGAAAGATGTATTTTTATCAAATGGACTTTGAGTGCCCATGCTTCAGAGGCCTTGACAGCTGCATCAGTTTAAAGGACACAGAGAGCACCACCTCCTCTCTTTACACTACATGGATGAATTGAAAGATTTATGGTGTATCTACTCCAAAGATGTATGCTTTCTGTTTTGGTTGTTTCTCCACCACCCACATTGTCCAAGCAATGATTCACGATGTCCATGTGGCCACCATAAGAGTTTGGCAGGGGAAAGCACAGTCCATTTGCACTTTTCTCCCAGAGAAACATGAAACTCCTTTATCACCCACAGCAAAGCAGCAGTAACCAGTACACAAATGGGAGTAAACACAAAGCAACCAACATCATCTGACTTGCAAATTATTACATGACAATTAAAACAAACAGAAGGAGTAATTTCAAACCTTTTCTTTTTTTAGCTGCATTGTAACATCTGGCCCAAACCAAACACTAACACCCTTGACCTTTAGCATATTCCAAATCCTTGATAGCTGTAAGACAGCTTTTCAAGCTGCCTCTTGCAGATCAAAACTGAAAGAATACATGCACTTCAAAAAGTTCTACCTGTACAATCCAATCTAGGTGCTTCCCATGGTCTATATTTAGCTGGACTCCGTTGTCTCTGAGTTTGGATCTTACAACTCCTTCAGCCAAAATGTGCTTTTGTGCTGGAACGATTCTACTGAATTCAAGAGCCCCCCTGGCTCACAGCAGCTACAGATTACGATCTTTGACCAGGAAGCGACAACCTTAACAAGAACTCAGAACTATAATGCATGCCTGCAGGTAAACCTTATTAAGAAAATGAATGCTATTTATGCATCAGCAGTTCAGGCACAAGTACTGGATCCCCTTGCTCGCACACAGAGCACAGAGCTCCAGCCCCTTCAGTTCGCTTCCTGCTGCCGTTTCCTGTCACAAGCCTTAAATGAGAGACTTTTAGAGACTTCTCACTGGCAAGCTGATTTCAACAGCTTGTAGTTCACATAATACAAGGCATTTATTTTCATAATGATATCTCAGCATTATTTGGGTATTTTTTTTCCCAGGTATTTCTAGGGGAAATATATGTATCTGTAGTGTAACACAGAACTAAAAACTGTTTGCTATTGTTCTTAGAAGCACGCTTTATTTTGGTCACAAACATGAACAGTTCTACCTTTTCTCTGTGTTGCTAGCAGTAAGTGAAAAATTGCAGGATCCAGAGGAAACTGAAATAGGTTTTGAGTGTCTACCTGAGGGATAAAACCTAATCTACAATTTCAAGCCCCAACAGTGAATTCCTCCGTTTTGTAAGGCATGCCAGCTGCCATCTTCTCAGCACCCCCTTCACTGCAGACTCTGATCCACACGCTGGACTCAAGGTGCACTCAGATTTTGGAGTCTGTGAAACAATTACCAGGAGAAAATCTCACTACACAAAGATACCTGCACAAAGGTTTCTGGTGAAAAGAAAGTCTTGCTATTCTCACCTTAAACACCGGCCAAACAAGCCAAGTCAGGGAGCTCTGTGGAGCACAGCACAACAAAAGTTATTAGGTGGTTATCTACACTACTGCTCTCACCCTTGTTGTTAGAGCTCAAACCTGTGGCAAAAGCGGGAAATCAAACGCCAATTGCTAGCACAGACAGGGCTGAAATTGTGAGCTGTTAAAATGAAACTCAAAGAAAATTGTTTCCCCTGTGAGCTTGGTGCATCTTCCTGCCTTCACAAAGGTGTGACTTTTTCACAGGCTCCCTGGGGCAGTGTCGTGCTCTGGAAGAGGGTGCAACAATGGCAGGGTCACGCCAGCGATGCGCTATCCACCCACCAGCATGTTTATTGTGGCTTGCTTTGCTTCTGAGCAGCTCATCAATGCTTTATGCAAGGTGCTGTGCAGATGGCATCTGCAGCCAGTGAGCTCCCCGAGGCAGGACAGGATCCACCTCCTCCCTTCCACCCAGTGATGTTTCTAATAGAGAATACTGGGCTGCAAAACTGGCCCTTTTTGTTTTGTGCTTGTGCAGTCTAACAAAACAACTAAGTGTGGACAAGGTAATGATAATTAAAATTGTCTACTGTTTATGGAGGGGGAAGCTGAAAGTCCCAGGTGCAGAAGACCCTGACTTTCAGGCAGGCTGGGAGATCCATTAACCTCTGACAACCCAAGCACACAGGCTTAATTCTCAATCTACTACAGTCAGCCAGAGTCAGACCAGCTCCTGCATGATTCGCATATCTAGCTCAGCTCCCTAACCTTCCTCACCTTAAGATCTACCTATTAAAGAAAGCAATCTTCACTTAAAAGCATTTCAGGGCCTATCTGCATTATAAAACAGTACATGGACATGCAAAGAACAAGCTTGCCTTCAGCACACAGCACAGTCCCCCAGATACCCACTGCAAACTACACAGGCTTCTGATTCAGATCAAAGATTTTACTCTGAACCTCCCATCCTCTAAATTCCCCCTCTGCCAATCATTTACTCAAAGTCCAGCAGGCTGAGACTGCCTGTAGAGGCTGAGGGGCAGTGGGGGAGGCAGGATATGGAACACCAGCATGCAAGTCCCTGCTTCATACTGGGCACTGCTGCTGGGATAAGTCATGCCTCTCTGCTACCAGGCAGATAAAAATGAAGAGAAAAAATGCAGTTTCCCCAGCAGTAAATTAAAGCTTTAGATTTAGTGTGGAAAATGTTGTTCTTTTTACTTTCTAACATCTATTCCAGCCAGAGCCTTCTCTGCTCTTATATGGAAATAAGGGCAGGGTGTTTTGAATATTTCCTCGAAATGGCATTAAGAGCTACCTCCTTTTAGTGTATCATCTCCTTTAGTTACTGCAAAACATTCTTGGGACAGGTACCACTGCAGGCTGCCAAGCATGTTCCCATGCACCTTCACAATTCGCTGACATCGACGGAACGGTGGCAGCACAGTGGGAAGGAATTAATACACGGGCTTAAAAGGAAACACAGGATGCCAAGAAAATTACTCTGACTGTACAGGCTCATCAGAATCTTCAGTGCAGAGGCCCACAAACTTTTGTTCTTGTTGTACAATCGCAAATTGCTGGTGGTGTGGGAAGAAATTGGGACCCACAGCATGTTTTTCCCCACCACCACGTCACCAGCTAATGCAAACATATGTTAATTTTTGCCTCAATTCTTACTTTTTGCCAAAAGCATTACCCCATAAATCATGCAACTGCTGTTCACCTGGATGATGCAATTTCTTAAATCTTTTGCAAGTCACTCGATACATCAACTAAGCTGCCTCTACCTTAGTTTACTGACAGAAAACCTAGGAGCAACAGGTTCTCGTAACAGTACAAAGGCAACAGAAAGTTTACATAAAACAGGCTGATCCCTTCTCATACTGTAGTCTTTTGCCTTGCTGAAATCAACAGGAGTAAAGGATGGCAAAGTCTGGCCCTTCATAACTGCAAAGTGCCTTTTTTGATAACTGGACATTGTTCCTATCCTTGACGAACACAGTATTTAGAATACAAAACCCAGGCCTGATAAAGGGTAAGTTTAAAAAGTCCAGATGATTTACAAATAAACAGATGTCCCATTGCAAAAGCTTTAGAAAATCCAATAAAATACACATGCTGCTTAGTGAGGTGAGGTGAAATGCCTGAATAACTATATTAGAAAAGAAACAATTCAGCTCTGAAAAGAACAGGTAACTAATTACAGCAGAATGCATTTATTGGTGTTCCCTCTTATAAACAAGACAACCTGGATTTCTGCTGCCCACCTTAACCACTAGATCATGCGAAGCGTATTTTCTGGGGTCAGGTATTCTTTGACTTAGAAATCAAATGATGTTTACTACAGCATGCCATTACAAAAACACAATACAGAGAGCTCAGGAAAGGCAGTAAAGGTGATCCTAGGAAACTAAATAACTCCCAGTAACCATTGTTTATTCCTATTATTTATTTATATTCATCCGACACCATTAGGGCTTGAGACCACTCTAGAAGTCAAGCAAATACTAGACAAGATGAAAAGAAAGAGAATCTACAATCAGCCACTCATTATCCCTTGATGGCTGCTCAAGAGCTTGCAAGATTACCTGGAAACTTTGGCAAAACATTTTTAAAAGAAGCACCTCTACTGGAAAAAAAGTAGCATTGGTCTCTAACACTGGGCTTTTCTCTTTGAAATGAATTTGATTTGTTTTGCTAGAGTCTGAGCCTATGTAAAATTATCTGAAAAAATATGTAAGATGAAGTGATGTATTCTTGTACCTCAGTACGTGTAGAAATCATTTTACTTTGATATAAAAATACCTTTATGTATATTTTCCCCCCACAGACTTCTAAAGGGAAGAAAATACAATAATTGCCTGTAATTCTTTTGAGTAAAAAATGTTCATTTCAATTATGATTTTTACAGTAGAGTTCTCTCAACATGAGACTGAACAAGCAATGAGGAACATGCACTGGTCATCCTATTTTTTTGATAGCAATATCCTATTCCTTCTGATTCCCCATGTTTGTATCCTTGGGAACTAGTAACATAAATATTTGCTCCCAAGTCTAATTTTACTCACACAGTTAAGTCAAGTGATTTGGTTTTCCTTATATGAACTTGAATGGGATTACTCACTTGAGTAGAGTTACTCATGAGCACAACTCTTAAGATGAGACCATGAACTACAACAGATCTGCTTTATTCCATTAGGGAAAGTTAGGGAAAAAAAAAAAAAAAAGAAAAAAAAAAAAAAAAAAAAAAAAGCCTTACCTGATGTTTTTTCTGTGAACACCACCTTGGACTCTGCTGTGAAATTTTGGCCAGTCAAGATCATCTGTTGTCCTCCATAAACAAGGCAGCTATCAATGTCTTGTCTTTCAACCATTGGAAGTTCATGAGCAGACCTTTGGGCTGTGGACAAATTGCAGACATGAATGAAACCAACTTTGTTTTACCAGGACTTTCCAAATCTTCCCAGAACTATCCACAGATAGATCTTGTCATCATTACCATCCGCTAACTGCCAAAGCAGCTTCTCCAGAGTGCTAAATTTAGGTCTGAGAGGGAAAAATAAACTTACTCAAGGCATTTTATTTGGAAACATTCAGAAGCTGGCTGCAGTGTTTCAGCTGTGCTGGCCTTACTCCTTGTCCTTGAAAAAGGACAGCTTGGATGAATGAACTGGAACTTGCCCATGTCTGTTTCCAAATAAATGGCCAAATTTTCAAGTGCAGGCACACTACAGCCCTGGAGCCCAAAAATTCCACCTGCAGAGAGGATTCCACTGAATAACACTGAATTCCTTCAGAAAAAAAAATAAAAATAAACCTCTTCTGCAAAAGCCCACTGCTTCCTACAGAACAGGGACTACGCTGGGCCTGGAACAACGTGTTTGCCAACAAAAGCAGAGTCTCCATATGCAGGCACTGAGCCTTGTGCACACAACAAGAGGGGCAATCATGACGCTGTGTCTGCCAGCAGGAAGGGTCACATCAGGACTGCTGCAGCCTGGGCTTTTTTTGCAGGGGTGTTTTGCAGGGGCTTGAACATCTGAGGAACAGAGTCCTGTGTTACATACTGAGTTTGATTACAAAAGGTAAAGAAATAAAAAGTAGGATGGAACCTAGATGGACATGTACACAATGGAGGGTTTCTAAGGTCTTTACTGTTCCTGGCCATGAACTTGGAGTGTGGCTTTATCAAGTTATTCTCTCCTTCCCTACCAGAAAACCAGGATAGCACCATCTCTCTACCTGCTTGTCTCTCATCCCATTAAAACAGCCATTTGCATGGTCTGAAAAACTTCAGAGAATCCTGGTCACCATCCCGACAAGCCCATTCCAACCATTCGCGAACAAGTGTCAGGAGATGAAGAAAGTGAAGATGTGAGGACTGTTCCCTACAACACAGACAGCTGGAAAACATCATCAGCTTCCCTGTGACCAGACCAGGTAGGCAACAATTTGGGCCTGAACTGTGAGTTCACGACCTGCACTCCAACTCCTCCAGATTCATCCACTCCAACTGCAAAGGTCTCTTGAGGATAAAGCTCATCTATTTAACAGCTGGCTTGGCTGGATTTTAACTTTCTCTGACAAAAAAAGCCTTCTCTCAAGAGACCCTGAGCACTTGTGTCTTCCCTTCACTGAATACCACTGGCTGCTGAGCCAAGACTAAAGAAGCAGTTTAACCTGTGTGTTCAGCACTGGCTATCCGCTCGCACACAGGCAAGGCTGTGCTTTCTGTGACTGCTCCCGGCACCCTTTAACTGATGTGCAACCTTCAGAAAGCTGAAAACCTGACAGCTCTTGGCTGTGGTAAGAGCTGTACACATCCTCTCACTGCACAAAGAAAATTCTTGAGTACTCGGTACGAAAACACAAGCATTAAATCTCTTAAATCTGTAGAAGCAGGGAGCAACCTTTCTAGTAAGGACAGACTCAGCTGAACCCTTTCTGCCAGTCATGACACAAGACTTTTTACTCATGTTAAAAATATAGATAATTCAATATTTGTAACTTTCTTGTGCCATTTTGAGAGGCGTTTTATAAAATCTATTTAAACAACCTTATGACTCATTGTTCCCTTCAAATATATAGCAACAGCTGGGCTAAAATACTGCCAATTAAGAACATATATTCAGATTATTTTCACAGAAGCTACTAATTTCTTTCACATGGCTGTATGATTAATTTTTTTCCCCAAATACTCAATTTTTTGTTGAGTTCATAATTGGATTTATCACAAAGACAGATTTGTAACCTCAAAGGCTTAAGAAAAAATACCAATCATCAAAAACATGTCTACAATAGTCAAGAGAAAATGTATTTAAGCCTTGCCCAGGACACTGTTTATTCCTATTCAATCCCCGAATTTCACTTCCAAAGCATCACAAATCATCAAAATTCCAGATGAACCTAGGTCTCCTTCAGACTTCAGGGTGTTAATAGAGAGCTTCGTACCTGACATCCCACAGAACAGTGGTTTTCAAGGCTTTTTCAGGATGAGGAAGAACAAATTTTAGCCTGGAAATAACCCTCTGACTCATCTTAATTATATTTGGATCTTGGCAAGCTGGAGATTGCTGCTGAAGACCACGCCTGTCCAACTTCCATAGAGTTTGTGTACCTTGCAGCCTACCAGGGAGCCAGTCACTGAGAAAGTGCATTCCAGCTCCAGGAAATGCCAAGGTGCTAAGGGACAGGTGGAGGAACACAGGTACCTACAGAGCATCAGCTTTTCTTTGCCCCATTTTGCTTGCATTCTTTCCTCCCACTAGGTGGTTTGCAAGCCCTTTTTTTTTTTTAAACAAAAAAACCCATACATTTAATTTTCCAAGCTCTTATTTCTTTTTATCCAGGCCTATAGGAAGGTTTCACCCATTCCCCATTTCACAAGTAAGGAGGTTCAAGTTTAAGTGTGGACCTGTCTCAGTAGGATTACGTTTTTTTTTTCCTCTACAAGAAATATTAATTACCAATAAATCCCCTTCCTCTAAGGATCATGATGGGTGGACTGCATGCAGTAATTTCACACTACTCCTTGTCTTCCCTCAGGGGTTGGCACTTCATAAAGTGACCTACAGCTACTGTAGTTTATGAGCTTTGAATAAACAAAACACTGTTGATTTAACCAGTTGGGGTGTTTACTTTCGCTAGCGACAGTTACTGACATAAGGCAGCAAAGCAAATGCTATAGAAATACTCAGACTTGGCCTGAAGCAGCATGTCAACCTATTAACATGGGATGTTATTTTTCTATTTTATTTCACTGTCTACAAATCAAGATGTCATGATATATGGTGCCAAGAAATACAATGCACGCAGTGACAGGGGAGAGAAAGGAAGCTACTGTCTTGGAGTACTGCACCACCTCCAGCAACCCTCAGCCTGGCAGGGAAGCAGCCACGGCCCACACCACCCAGCAGGACCACTGCTGGCCACAGCCCACCCAGCCGTCTTGGGGCTTGAGCCTTTATCCCCCTTCCCATGTCAGCAGGTGAAGGAAAGGTTCAGGTGACCTAAACCACCAGGCCAGCAGGCTGAATGCTTTACAAGGGATGCACAAGCTTGGAGGCCAACTGTAACGAAGGGTGCCAAGGCAGGATGAAGGTGTTTCTTGCTTCCCTATCTACCCAGACCATCCATAGCTGTCCTTTCTCAACAGAGAGGCTATTTGGTTTCTAGGGGGAAAAAAATTTAAAAAAAACCAACCAACCAACCAACCAACCCAACCCCAACCAAACACCACACACAAAAAAACCCCCCCACAAACGTCCTTTGAGAGAACGGATTACAAGGCCAAATCTGCTATGGTTCCAATTCTTCCCCAGGAAAGTGCTTCCCATTGCTGCTAGCAGGTACCAAGTGACAACCTCAGTTGTGTTCCCTAACATGCTTCTTAGGGAATCTCAACCCCACCTGAGAGCCCCTTTGCCCCTGCACTGCCCAGCTCTCCCCATCAGCACTCCTCCTGCACACATGTCCTGGGATGAGCGGTTCTAGCTCTGCCTGAGCATCACATTTCCTTCCACCAGCTCGCAGGGCTTCCAAGCACTTCCTTATCTTGCCCAAAAGCTGAAGTTAAATGTCTCTTAACAGCCTCCAGAGAGGAACCATCTTGGTAATCTCTGTCCCTGCATGTGCAGCGAGAACACTAACGTGAGCTGCCTCTGGGGAGGAGCAGGCTTGTGAGCTCCGTGCAGGACAGAGTGGGTCTGACCAACACCATCAGCGCAGAGATACTCTGCAGCTTCCAAGTATCAGCACACAATCTCAGTACCTTCTTCTGCAGAAGAGCTGGAGGCCTTCATGAAAACCTCAGTGTAAGCAGGGACCACAGAATAGCTGCTAGAGTGAAATCTGCCACCTGCAACACTGCATCCAGAGCTTAGGTTTACCTGTTTTCCCCATAGCTGATCAGTGTTCAGGAGAGCTCTTACTCTGGGCAATTGCAAGGAGCAGGACTGAGGCTCACCTGCAGTTCAGTGAACTCTAGAGTCACCTCTAATCACTTCCAACTGCCATCAAGCCAAGTGAACCAAAAAATGTGGCTGCTTAAGATGTGGGGTCACAACTTGCCACCCCCCCAGTGCAGCAGTCTTCCCAGGCCAAATGTCCAGGTCCCTCTTTGGACCCTCCCTTTTCCTACCCAGCCCAGGGCAGCATCAGCTCACCCAAGATTGCTGGAAGCCTTCAAGCCACGACTCGCCTAACATCTCTCTCCTAAAGGCTCTTGGCTCCAGCCACTCATTCCTGTCGGATCTGAGAAGAGCAGATAGAGCTGGATGTCTGGTGCTAAAAAAAAAAAAAAAAAAAAAACCAAACCCTAGAAGCAATAGCAGAGGCATAGTTTGTTGTGGGATTAGTTCTTCCACCTCATTGCAAAACTTAATGAGCCAAAGTAAATACCTCATCCCTCCTGTCACATTGTGTTTATTTACCACGAGCTGCCTGCCTGAAGCAGGATTGATAGTAGCCGAGTTCCTGTGCCCCATGCTTATCCAACACATTAATGTCCCTAGAGACTTTGATCTCATCCATCACACACTGAAGCACACTGAGCAATCTGGTAGGAGGAGATGCAAAGGCCAGGGGAGCACCAAGGGCAGGAGACATCTCTAGCAGGCAGGTAGACATCAGTAAGGGACCCTAGAGAGAAGCAATCTTCTAATCGGAGGGGTGGGGTGAATTATCTCCTGGTAGGAGTAAGGGCCAGCAGAAGGCTTAAGAGAAAATCATGTAAATAGAGCTAATTTACAACCCTTGTGATTAGATGGGAAACCTTGAAAATGTGACGTAAATGCTATGAAAAGAACTCTTCAGTATGAATGACAAGTTTCTAATATGTTCCCAGTGAGAGTTACTTGGCAGTATTCACAGAGCCATCCAAGAAAAAAGCACCAAAACCAG